TTAGAGACATAAATTTTATCATGCAAAGCTTAAATATCAATAGACAAAATGCCATGTGACCATCTTTGCCTAGGGAACAATATAATTAACAATGGAGGCATCCAAGTCTTAAAATTTATTGACCTAAACAGGAGTATTATTTTCTTCCCAGTTAACAAATGAAGCATAGGAAGATTAGGCATATAAACCCAATATGCTTCAGTAGTAATTTTTATTTATTTATTTATCTATTTATTTATTAAGATTATATGTTAATAAAGACATTTTATATATTTTTAATTAATTTTAAAATTTCCTATAGTTTTATATTCTTAAATATTTTTAAAAGTTGTCAAGCAATCTCTAAAAATCAATACCATATATATTATTTTGATCTTATAAACTTTGTTGTCAGCAAGAAAAGTTCTTACATACGAACCCGTAAAAGTACAGTTTTGATGCTTCATTAATCAAGCACAGTCTCAAACCCTATCTCAGAATAGTAACATTTTCTTAAGCAATGTAGGATATACATTTGACATCCCAACTATGAGACAGGAGAGGAGAAGCACATTTGGTCAACAGTTTGTACACATATATTTGGATATCTTTTTCTTTTTGCTAAGCTTTTAGCTTTAAATTCAGAAATATTTTGACTCCTTCAGAGTTAATATAGAAAACCAGTGCCAACACCAGTGGTTTACGTATTGGTATACAAGAAAAACATAATAGAAGTTAACTTTTTTGTTTCAGATGTTACAGATTTTTTTTTAACCATACATAACCAAGATATCCAGAACATAATAAATTCATACATTTTAAACAAACAGGTTTGTTTTTGTTTTTGTTTTTGTTTTTACTTTCTTTAGTTGTAATTTCAAAGGAGGAACATCTTGTTACCTGCTGAATCTAATTCTCATGGGCAGAAAGCATCAGCTTTTTTTTTACTGGAGAAGCTAAGAGGCAGTGGTCAGACACCTCCTGCTTCATCCAGGCAGAAGCAGGGTCATTCCTAGATGAAAGGTGCAGGGCTTAAAATGAGTTAAAAACTAAACTAAGAGTTAACTGGCCAGTAAATGAAGTTTGACTTTTTTTCCCCCAGAATATGAAACACAAAGATATTTCCCTCAGAGAAAAAGTGAATTTTCAGGAGTGAGCCATAGTCCGATTTCCCAGATCCTTTGACCCATTTTATTTTCATGAGTCTTTCTAAAAAGGTCAGTAGGGGATTTTGTGGGTCCCTGGTCTACCTGAGTTACCTAATATATTTGTGGAGCGTTTGGCAGCCACCCTGAAACTCTGGCAGTAACTCTAAGAGCCTTCCTCCCATCCCAGCTAGGTCTGGTTTGAAGGAAAGCAGCATCAATAAGCTCTAGTCTCTTGCCATCAAGGGAAATCTATGGAAGAAAGGGGTACAGGGAGTAGGGTGAGAAATAGAGAAAAGAGAAAGGAAACCAATAGTGGAAACGAAACAACAAACGTGAAATCATCCCAAGACCATAACAATGGGACAACTGCAACAATTAAGACAAAGCTGAACAGAGACAACAAGATGTTCCCGGGGATCTTAAAACAGAATCTGAGCAGCGTGAGAAGCTCTGAGACCTGAGGCTACTTAAAACCCAAAACCAAAAAACCAACCAAACAAACAAACAGAAACTAGACCATCACAGGCCCACCATTTGATTCTCTCAGGATCTGAAGATCCTCCCAGAGGATCCGGAGAGCTCCAGAGTCACTCCCCAAGGTCTCTGTGAGTTCAAGGCCAGCCTGGTCTACAAAGTGCGTCCAGGACAGCCAAGGCTACACAGAGAAACCCTGTCTCAAAAAAACAAAAACATAAAAATCTCAAGGCTGGTCACCTTCCAACAGAAAACTGTGTAGCCTAAGCTACTTGTGAAAGGGTAGTCACTTTAGTAGGCTACGCCTCCCTAAACACCTGGAAGCTTAAGCAGGCCATGTTGGTGCCTTCCTCTGTCTGTCTGTCTGTCTGTCTGTCTCTCCCTCTCTTTTTCCCCTCCCTCCCTTTCCCTCTTTCTTTCCTTCTCTCCTCTCCCTCACCATTCCTCTTTCCCTTCTGTTTCTTTGCTATTTAGCCCAGGCTGGCCTCAAATTCTCTATAGCCTGGGTTATCCTCAAACTTTATATTCCTCCTGTTTTAGGCTCCTAAGTGTTGGGATTATAGCTGTGAGCCAACATCAGACATTAATGACTTCTTTTTCAAAATGTTTGTCTTTCTTAATTAATTTTTTTGAGACAAGGGTGTGGTTCTCACCAGGTATCCTTGGCTGGCCTGTAATTTACTATGTAGAGCAGGCTGGCATTGAACTCACAGATATCTACTTGCCTCTGTCTCCTTCCTGATGGAAGTAAGTAAGTCATAAGCCACTATGCCTGGCCACCATGGTTGTTTTCTTTCTTAGGAATCAAATCTGGGGCCTATATACATCACAGGAGCTAGGAAAGCAGTCTACCACTGAGCTCTGTCTCTGGTCCTTTCAGTATGTCTTTGAAACCATAATAAATGTACATGGCTAGAAGAAAGGTTGTGCTGGGAAAATAATACATCATAGCCTTCTTTGACCCCTACTCCTGAGGCTCAAAACTGTAAATCCCAGAATTTCAAAGACAAGGTCAAGAGGATTCCCAATCAGCCTGGGAAACATAGTGAAATCTAGGACAACAAACCTTGTGTCAAAAAATGAATCCAATTAATGACAACAACGAAAAACGACAAAGACGAATGAAAGAAATCACAAAGCTCTCTATAACAAAGGAAACAATTATCAGAGAAAGGCCATAAGAAGAGAGTGAATCTTTGCCAGCTATTCATCGGGTAGAATGTGTAAAGGGAAAAGTGGGGCTAGTTTCACATGCTCAGAAAGATCAAAAGTATAAGGTCATTTTTGTCTGCACAGCAAATCTCTGGCCACTGCAAGCTGTGCTAGATGAGACCCCAGGGAGAAAGAAGGGAGGAATACGCAAACCAAATCGCGTAGATAGTAACATCTCACCCCAGTCAGAGCTACTATCATCAAGAAAACAAACAACAAGGGACATAGGAGGAGATGAGGGAGGGAGGGTAAGATTGGGAGGGGAGGAGAGAGGGGTCTACAGCTGGGATACAAAGTGAGTAAACTAATTAATATAAAAAATAAAAAAACAAACAACAAATGTTGATGAGGATATGGGGGAAACCCCCCTTACACACTACTGGTAAGAATGGAAATTCAGAGACAATACTACGGATGTTAGCAACAAGGGTTTCCCAAACCAAAAAGTAGAGCCACCATATGTTGCATCTATACTATTACTAGCTATATACCAAAAGGCTCAAAGTCAGTGTACAATAAAAATACTTGAGCACCTTTGTTTACTGTGGCCCAGTATTCATGATAACTTACAGAATTTGACGAGGTGTACATCAATGAATAGATATTTTAAAAAGATGGTATAAACACACGATTGAGTCTAATTAAGCCAAAAAAGGAAAAAATATGTTATTTGCTATAAAATGTACAAAACCAGAGATCGTTGTATTGAGCAAAACAAGTCAGTCAGACTCAGAAAGAAACAATATAGCCAGGCATAGTGAAGGCCTTGAATCCCACAATTCACAAAGCCGGAGCAGTTGGATCAGATCTCCCTTACATAGTGGGTTCAAGGCCGGCCTAGACTACATGAAATCTTTCCTCTTCACCCCTAAAAAAAAAAAAAACATACAAATAAACAAAAAGACAAATATAAGTCCAGCATGGTTCTTTGTTTTTTCCAGCACTGAGGAGGCAGAAGCATCAGACTCGTTTGCAGCGAGAGAGCTTGAGAGCTCTTGAGAGCTTGAGAGTTCCACACCAGCCTGAGCTACAGAATGAGACTGTACAAAACAAAACAAATACAGCATATGAAGAACTAGATTTTAAAAGTATATTTACATGTGCACACATATGTAACTTGGAAATAAAAAGAAGACTTTTGAGGCAGAAGAAAGGTCTGGCAAGTGGGTGGAGGGTTTGGGCAAAAGAAGTTAATGAAAGGGACAATATGATCAAAGTACAGGATATGGCTGGGTAACTCGGGCCCGGACTTGAGAGGCTGAGACAGAAAGATTACCATGAGTTAGAGGTCAGCCCAGGCTACAGAGTTCCAAGTCAGCCTAGAATATAATGTAAGGACCTGTCTCAAAATAATTCCCCATTAGCTGGGAGGTGGTGACACACGCCTTTAATCCCAGTCCTAGGGGTAGGAGGTAGGGGTGTGCAGAAAGAGGCAGATCTCTGAGTTTGAGATCAGCTTGGTCTACAGAGTGAGTTCCAGGATGGTCAGGGCTACCCAGGGAAACCTTGTCTTGAAAAAGAAAGAAAACAAAAATAAAAAATAAAACCCAACCTCCACAAAGTTCATGACAGACATATATGAAAATGGATAATGAAACTCATTATTTTATAGGATGACTACTTGGCAAGTAAAGAAATAATTGAACTGAAACCTAATTGTGGTAGAGAATGGATCCTATGGCCCTCTGTCATCTGTACCTGTCCCAGGTGGTGACCACTGAAAGACTTAGACATGAACAGTACCCAGAGCTACAGGGATTTTTTTTTTTTTTTTTTTTTTTTTTTTTTTGCAGGCATTCAGTGTTGACACTTGTGTGCAAGGTCTGAGTAGTTCTATGGACTGATGAGTGGAAGCTCGTTTAAGCCGAGTGTGCAGAGAACGTGCGGGGTTTGGTGGGTACAGCATGTGATACTAAGCAGGAAGGATTGATGCGTACACAATTGTTTGAACACCGTGAGCAGGTTCTGAGCACTTCCTTCGCGAGCAGCGGCTCGTTTCTTACCACCAGGACAGTTGCTCCCAGGGAGAGAACACGCGAGCTCACAGCACGTGCAGTTCCTGCGCGCGCATGCGCTTTCTGGCTGAGGTGACGCACTGGCTGCTGCTTAAGAGTCCAGCACAGCAGCGGGCCCAGGCATTGTAAGGCCAGAGCGCAAGGTGGGAGGACGCCTGCGCATTGGAACACTTGCAGAGCCGGTGCTGCGACGCGGCGGTCCGGACAGTGCGCCTGTGCAGCCCGTGCAGCCCGTGCAGCCCGTGCAGCCCGTGCAGCCCGATGGAGCGCAGTGGTGGTGACGAAGCCGAAGCCCCCACTGAAGGGGTCGTGAAGGACGCGTCGCTGCAGCCCACCAAGACGATGGAAGCGAGCGTGGGGCGAGCCTCACAGTGCACCCCTCGGCCGCCAGGTAAGCTCCTGGGCGGGCAGGGCTGAGGACCCCTGGGGGCGGGGTGGGCAACAGCTCTGGGCCCTGGATGCCCTTTCTGGGGCCTAGGTCAACCTGATGCTGGGGGCCTCCGGCCGCGTCCCTCCTTCGGCAGGTGACAAGGTCCCCTCGGGCTTGGCGTGGGTGAGTGAGCGGGTGGTGGCTGGAGAGCGAGAGGCAAGTGTCCTTTTCCACCGCTGTGCCTGAGGGACGGCCCGGCGCTGGAGGGGGCTTCTGGGACGGCGACCCCATGGGCCTGCGGGACCCGCTGAGGTGTTCGGAGTTGGAAGGATTGCGGCTGGCTCTGCTGGCTCTGCTGGCTCGCTGGCTCCGCTGGCTCGCTGTCCTACCTGACTAACGCCCATCCACAGGGGGGCCACAGTCAACCGCCAAGGTGGCCCAGCTTTGCGTTCCTTGGCCTCTCGGGGTTGGGAAAACTGTCGCGTTGTGCCGCACCAGGGCAGCGGCGGTTCGGGAAGGGAGTGGGCCGTAGCCACTGCGACGACGACCCCCCTCCCTCCCACCCTGAAATCGCTGAGGTAGTCGTTTGGCTCCTGAGGTGTCTGGCCCAAGCGCTGCCCCCGTTTCTTGGCTGCGTGGTGATTGAGTGTCCTAGCAAAAGGGACTGCAGCTGTAGCCCGGTGTGCGTGTCTGGGGATGGGGGATGCGGGTCCTCATCACGTCTGCGCGAGGGGAACGTTCTGAGGACATTGAATGTGAAAACGTCTCCTGTTTCTACTAACCTTCTGTATGCTTGTAGGTGGTGCGGAGGTATACGCAGCGAGGAAAAGGATTTTAATCACGTTTTCCTGGCGACATTTTAAAAAGTTGATAATGTGAACTAATTTTATTTATTTATTTTTATCTTTTATTGCAGTTTAACGTTCGTACAACAACAACAAAAATAAACCCTCACATGAATCCTTGTATGATTTGGGAATTATCACATCGTGGAGATAAAGTATTTCAGAAAAGGTGGAGGGGAAGAGGAAAGACATAAAATGAAGTGGCATTTGGGGTTTTATTTGTTTCTTAATTTTGAGACAGCTAGTTTGTGTTACCGTGCTTTTTATTAAATGCACAACTTAATAAATCACCATAGGATAGTGATAACTACCATTTAAATCTATATTTATGTTTTTCTTTTTTTTATGGGGAAACCAGAACCAGAACCAGGCCATATCTGATTTTGAACTTAAAACCCACACACCAGAGCCAACTCTCCCTGGCAAAGGGGACCCCATAGAGAAAAACATTAGAACGGGGGTATTGTTTGAGTTTTTGTTTTTCTTTGAAGGGGATTTGAAATAAGTTACTTAGATGTTTCTTGTAATAGACAAGGGGCTCTAAGGTTGGATATCCAGTTTATCTAGGATTTTAATTTACTTGAAGAAAAATTTTTGTTGTTTCTTGACACAGTGTTTCTCTGTGTAGACTTGGCTGTCCTGAACTCATTTTGGAGAACCAGGCTGACCTTGAACTCACAGTGATCTGCCTGCCTCTGCCTCCCGGAGTACTGGAATTAAAGGCATGCACCACCACACCCTGCTACTTGAAGGAGTTTTAAGGGGACACTTCTTTTTCCCCCTATTGCTCAGTTGCAGTGTGGACACTAGTTTCTTTCCGAATTTCTAAAAATAATCCTAGGTTTTAAATATAGCCTGTGATGAACATTTAGAGGTCATTCTTAATAACTCTGTGAAAGAGAACATGTTTTTTTTCCCACTTTATTTTAACAGGGGTGGGATGGAGATGGGTGTGTGTGATGCTATATAACCCTTGTTGGGTATGAACTCATGTTCCTGTTCTCTGTCACCAACACTGCTGACTAAAGTTGTTTTTTTCATGTGAGTACATGTGGGTTTTTGCATGGATGTAGAGGGTGTGTGCTTTTAGAGTCCATGTGGCCTGAAGTCTTTTGGGTTTTGCCTGTACTCCTCAGGTAATCACTGTCTAACTGAATTAAATTATTTTCTTATTTTTAGTAAACCAAAACTCATGAAGCCAAGTACTCTGAAATGAAAAAGTCATTGACCCGTTACTAATGGTAATCGAAAAGAAAGGTGTACATCTGGGGCAAGTTCCCTTAAGCCATAAGCAGCAAGACTTGTAGGCAGTTGGGGAAGTGTCTGAAGCTCTAAAAGGCAGAGTAGAGCTGGAGAGATTGCTCAGCAGTTAACAACACTTGTTGCTCTTAGGACCATAATTCAGTTCCCAGAACCCATGTCAGTGGTTTGCAACCACCTGTAACTTTAGTTCCAACGGATCCAGTACCCTCTTCTAGTCTGTGAGGTGTGTACACACACACACACACACACACACACACACACACACACGGGGGGGTAGGTAGAGAGAAGAGAGAGGGAGGAGAGAGTAAAAAAAGAAGGGTACTTTGTGAAGAAAATTTGGGAAAGGTGCAAGTTATTTAAACTGAGTCTATATTGACTGTTGCCAAGAGAATTGTTGCCTCTCTTTACTGTGACTGTAAGCAAGACTGCTATAGCAAAATTTGTTTAGTGGTTTAACCTGCATTTAATAATGTAAACTGCTTTTTCAGGGTCTCGGACTTGCTATTTAGCTGAGGCTTCCCTCTAACTCTGTTCTCCTGCTTCTACCTCTCAAGTGCTGCCTGGGGTTATGAGTATGTGCCATCATGCCTGGCTATAATTCTTTTTCACTGCCCCATCTTTCCTCCTTTATATCCATTGTCCCTTTGCAATTACATTTAGAATATCTCAGAACTTTAAGCTCCCACTTTTTGGTAGAGAGAAAATTGCTTATAGGTAAGGCAGTGTTTCTTGGTATCTTCTTACCCTCAGCTCTGGAGTAGGAGACTGCAGGGCTACAAAATGGAAGCTTAGCAAATTCCCTAGGGAGTCTAATAGGGTGGGGTTGGGTATAAAGGTTAAAAAGTATCCCCCAAATCAGTTATTCAGTTTTTTTAAGAGCTTATTGGTTTTTTTGTTTTTGTTTTTTAAAGCCTACATCACATAATATTCCCAGGCAGTCGACCATCGTAGAACTAATGAGGCTTGGCCCTGCTTAACTTCTGAGATCTGAGGAGATTGGGTGCATTCAGGGTGGTGGTATGGCTGTAGATGAGCCTCTTGAGTTTTAAATTTTACATCGTTTTCAATTATGTGTTTTTATGTGTAGGCATATACATATGAGTGTCAGTACCTGCAGAAGCAAGAGACATCAGATTCCCCTGGAATTGGACATACAGGTGGTTTCAAGTGACCTAATGTGGATGCTAGGAATTGAACTCAGGTCTTCTGATAGAGCGACGTGGTCTCTTAACCGAGTCATTTCTCTAACCCCTGTTCATCCTTTTTTGAAGTTGCATTTATCTGTTTATATTTATAATGTTGGACATTAACCACAGGGCTTCCTCCATGCTGGGCAAACACTACATGGAGTTATACTCCCAGGCTTCAAAATTGCTTAAAACTCGTACTGGCACACACCTTTAATCCTAGCACTCAAGAGGCAGAGGCAGGTGGATCTCTCTGAGTTTGAGACTAGTTCCTACATAGGGATTTTTAGGCCAACCAAAACCGTGTCTCAAAAAAAAAGTTACTTAAAACTATTTCTCATAAGACAGATTTGGGAAGACAACTGCCTCCCACATATAAGAGAAAACTTAAGGTAACTGCTGAGTTTGGAAATGTACCCTGGCCCTTCTTTCTAAACTTTTGTGAAAATAATTAGACCAGAAGAAACAGGAGATGATTAAAGGTGACCAGGTATTGTGGGCTGGTGAAGGGAGAGATTGATTACTCCCTTGTTTGTATCTAATGTGAGGTCTATTGTCTTATCATCTGAGGTGCTGCCAGATAATGGTCTGTGAATTCCTCTAAATTCCTCTACATCTGCTCCTTGTATCAGTCTGATAGGATTTTCTGGTGGAAACATTTATTTTCTTTCCTTTTTTTTAATTTATTTTCTTCTTGCCTAGAAACTTGTCCTCATGTTAAATAAAAGCCTTGTGAACTGTGAAATTCACACTGTGTTGAGGCAAAAGAAAATGAATTTATGAGTGATTGAGAAACTAAAAGTTGGGTTGGAGAGATAGCTCAGTGGTTAAGAGCACTGGCTGGGGGGCTGGAGAGATGGCTAAGAGATTAAGAGCACTGGCTGCTCTGCCAGAGGTCATGAATTCAGTTCCCAGCAACCACATGGTGGCTCACAACCATCTATAATGAAATCTGGAGCCTTCTTCTGGCTTGCAGGTGTACATGCAAGCACAACATTGTATACATAATAAATAAATAAATCTTAAAAAAAAAAAAAAAGAGCACTGGCTGCTCTTGCAGAGGTCCTGAGTTCAATTGCCTGCAACCACACAGTGGCTCACAAACATCTGTAATGGAATGTGATTGCTTCTTCTGGTTTGTATGAAAAGAGAGTACTCACTATATACATAAAAATAAATAAATACTTTTTAAAGAAACTAAAAGTCATGCTAAATGCCTGTGATTTGTTGAAATGGCAGGATATGTCTCCATGGTTCTTAGTTTCTGGTGAATGCTGGATTGATTGAACATCTGAAAATACATCCTTTTCTTCTTAGTACCAACTAGGTTCATGCTTTATAGTTGTAGGCAGCCCTTGGAATGATTCTTCTGCCATCTCTTCACTTTATCCACTCCCATTTCTGTAATGACAGCTTTATTAGGATAAAATTAATATATTCTTTAGTTCACCTTTTTTTTTTTTTTGTTTTTTCAAGACAGTGTTTCTCTGTGTAGCCTTGGCTGTCCTGGACTCACTTTGTAGACCAGGCTGGACTCAACCACACAAAGATCCACCTGCCTCTGCTTCCCTGAGTGCTCTGATCACAGGTGTGTGCCAGCTTATTTCACCTATTTAAAATGCACATTTCAGTTATTTTAGTGGGTTCAAAGTAAAATAGTCATCACTGTAGTCATCATTGTAGTTAAAAGAAGTTTTCATCAGCCCTTGAAGAAACTTTACTCATT